CCACCTGCTGGGCATCAAGCGGCTGCGGCGGCTCTACTGCAACGTGGGCATCGGCTTCCACCTCCAGGTGCTCCGCGACGGACGCATCGGCGGCGTGCACGCGGACACCGGCGACAGTGAGTGGGGCGGGCCGGGCGGGAAGGGTTGGCGGCCCCGGGGCAGCGGCCGCCCCTTCCGACTCGCCCAAACGCGCACGGACGCCCCGGGCTGACACCTGCTCGCGGGCTCCGGGCGCCCGGGCGGGCTGAAGTTCCGGACCCTCTCGTGCGCGGACGCGGGGACGCAAACACTCCCCGCTCCGGGCGTCGCCGCAGGAACCGGCTCTGCGCGCTCCGGCGGCCGAGCCCCGCCTCCCCGCCCTCGGAAGCCCGGGCTCAGGGCGCCGAATTCCAGCGACTTCGCCCGTGGGCACAGGGCACAGGGCGCGAGGCGCAGCCAGCAGCACCCACGGGGCCCCGGGACTCGCGCTCGGGTCGGGGCCGAGCTGGGGACCGCCGGGACGGCCACGGTCCTGCTGTCCGGGACTGGGCGCGGCCGCCGAAGGGCCGGGACCGGAGGAGAGCGAGTCCACGCCCGTGCACACTGGGCTTCGGGGTGGCCTGCGAGAGGGAACCCGGTCCCTTTACACCCCGGGGTCCCGGAGGCGCGCGGGCCGAGGAGGGGGCCGGTGCGGGCGGCGCGGGCCAAGGGTCCCCTGCCCCGGAATGACCCGCGCCCCTCCCCCAGGCCTGCTGGAGCTCTCGCCCGTGGAGCGGGGTGTGGTGAGCATCTTCGGCGTGGCCAGTCGGTTCTTCGTGGCCATGAGCAACAAGGGCAAGCTGTACGGCTCGGTAAGTAGGGCGGGGGCCGGTCGAGTCCCGGCCGGGGAGCGCGGGCGGGATCCTTAACCCCTCCTGGCGGAGGGAACTGCGGGGCCGGACCAACTGGCAGCGCCTGTCCCCCCACCCTGTGCCCTAGAGCAGTGCCTGCGACCAGGGTCCGCCTAGACGGGAGGTGCAGCCCCAAGACAAATAATGAAGTTTGTCCCATCCCGGAGTGGGGGGCTCTTAGTCCGCCAAAGGGTGACATCGGGAGCCCTTCTCTGAGCCCCTGCGGTGAGTCCCAGCCGCAGGACTGCTGCCTTTAAGGTGGACGCCGCTTGACTGCCAGGTGCCAGGCAGGTGGCTGGAGCACCAGCTGCTGTGGGCTCCGCCACGTTTCTCTTCTCACCCTGGGAGGGTCTTGGCACCTGACCTGTCAGCCCCCAGCGGGGCTGGGACCAAAAGGAGCCCCCGGACCACTGGCCTCCAGGGTCACTTGGCCTGGAGGAAGTCCGTCCTAAGACTGTGCTGCCTTCCTCCCAGCCTTTCTTCACTGACGAGTGCAAGTTCAAGGAGATACTTCTCCCCAACAACTACAACGCCTACGAGTGCTACAGGAACCCCGGCATGTTCGTCGCCCTGAGCAAGAACGGGAAGACCAAGAAGGGGAACCGAGTGTCCCCCACCATGAAGGTCACCCACTTCCTCCCCAGATTGTGACCCTCGGAGCGGGGACGCCTTGGTGCACTTCGGATGGACAGTTTAACGCAAGAGTAGCTGTAAGATATTTAAGTTAATTATTTAAATATGTATATATTGCCACCAAATTATTTATGGTTCTGTGGGTGTGTTTTGTATTTTTCTGAAAAACCAAACCAAACAAAAAACCAAAAAAAAAAAAAAACAAAAGAAAATCCCGATTTTTTTTTTTTTCCTGGTAAAACAGTGGAGAGCCTTCCAGTGGATTTATTTAACTTATCAGGAAGTTGTCACCAATGCGCTGCTATTCTGTGTTTTAAAACCCAGTGACATCGGACTCCCGACATCAGCCCGCTCTGCACGGCCCGGCCCCGTAGTTTGTGGGGGGGGCTTCTCTGTGTCTGGAAAGGCCCTCCCGGGGCTTTAGAAGCCAGCGAAGGACGCTCCCAGCCTCGCTCCCTCCGGCGCCCACTCCCTCTGGGCCCTGTTGCTATTAATTGGGGCGGATCGGTTTACTTCGGGCACAGAAAGTGCGCCGAGTCCTCCGCTGCCACTCCGTTTTTAGATCTGCCAAGACTGACCTTTGACCTCTGCTGTAGTCAATCTTCCCCCATCTACCAGATGGGAGAGACCTTTAGACAACTTTATAAACTCCTGTTTTCCTTTTTTGGATCAGCCACAGCCATATTTCTGTGGCCACGGTGGGGGGGGGGGGGAAAGGGGGGTTGCAGGCAAAAAACAGCTATTTTGTAAATCTGATGAAAATGCATCAATATCCCAGCGCATGGCTGGAAATGGACAAGGCGGGCGTATCGACAGCCACAACCTGAACGCTAGCGATGAAATACAATTTCCGATAGCAGATACTTCTGATAAGTAATAGAATAGAAACAGAGTTCAAAGCTTCCCTGGGAAGCTCCGGGCTAGTCCTAGCTATGAATTTTAGGTAGAATGGCCTCGTAATTGTACAAAAACACTTAATGCAGAGTTTGTGTGCAGGAAGATGCTGCTTCTCTCCGTTGCATTCCCTGATTAAGTGGATTTAACATCTACCTCGAAAGCCTTTAAACCGCTCACTCATCTGGCAAAACCTGCAGAAAGCCAGAGCTGGAGCAGGAGTTCGCCATCCCAAGTGGGATTTTTTTTTTTTTCCCCCATATGCAGCCAAAAAGGATTGCAGATAGCGTCGGTGCGTCCCTTTCGAACCTTGTCACGTTTGAGCTATCTTTACCCCGTGATTTACTTTTAGTAAGGATAATCATGGTGAAAATATTTGCAGACAGCTGTTAGAGTGCGCTATATGGTCACCAAGTAACCTTATATTTTTCTTTATATATTTTACGAATGTAACCCCTGTCGTTGGAGCAAAGATGGAAGCAGCGGGGTCGAGGGTGTTTAAAAAAAGTTCCGAGGTGATGGCAAACATTTAATTTTAATGAATGACTTTTTCAAGTTTATACAAAATGACCTTAGCTTGCTACCAGAAATGTTCCGGATGTCTCCCGCAGACTAGATGTTTCTGAACCCGTCTCCCAAATTAACTTTATGGGAGTCTACAGACAGCGAGACTGGAAAATCTGATTGGAGTTTTTGTCTTTCACATTCCTTTTAAAAAACTCTTTGTTCGAATGCTAATCATCTATTTTAAATACCGTGCTTAAACAAACGGGAGGCCTGGAAGAAAGAAGCCACTTGCAAAGCCACGAGACAGGACCACACATCTCAAAACTGCTGTTCGCGTGTGTTGCTCCGTGATGAAACGTTCTGGGTTTTTTTTGTTTTTTTCTGGTTTTTTTTTTAACTGTTCATTTTTTACACGACCTAAACGCTAGGAGTGTGCAGGAGAGAATGATGCTCGTTGCGGGGAAGGGACGGGGGTAGAATTTTGGTCATTCTGTATTTGATGTAGCCACCTCGTAACAAACGGCAACCGCCTTAGATGCCTTAAATTATTGCACGATGTCTTGTCTTGGAGCCTAATCCCGTTGTCAGGAATTCGGCCAGTCTGAAGTGCAGAATTCGGCCATCCTTGACCTCGCGTATATATGTTTGGCGAATCACGTGCGACGCCTTTGGAGATGTAATCGGACCTTTGAGATCCCGTCGAGTGTTTGCATTGCTGTGACGGGGGCTCGCGGTTTCTGCAGCCTCCGCTGTCCTAGTCGCAAACAGGTGCCCACCCGCATTGTGATGTGTGTGCTGTGCACACTGAGATGCCGAATGAATGGAAGACGTTTATCATGTAAAAGAGAACCCCACTGGACCTGATGCAAATAATTGGGGAAGGTATTGAAAACGATTAAAACCTGCCTCGAAATGCCAAGACGGGGCTCTCTTCCCCCTGTCTCCCGGTGTCTATTTGAGGCCTTGAGCCCCACGTGGCTGGGGGTGGGGGTGAGGGTGGGGGTGGGGGAGATGAATTTTAGCCAGCTGTGTCCACACGAATGTGGCCTTGAAGACAGAAAGGGCCTGAGGTGTGTGTGTCACAGAGTTTTGCGGCGACTCTCAACCCTGCAGTTTATCCTCACGATGGCGAGGTCCACGCCATTCCCACACTGGAACGGACCGGAGCTCCCCCGCTCGAGCGCCTTGGCCCAGGCCATCTAAAGCAGTTTGTGCTTTCGCGGGGTGGGGAGCCAAGTCCCCAGAGCTGGTCCCCGGAAGAGTGACTCGAGCATAGTTTTCAAACTTGAGTAGATCCCTCCGGTGAATCTTGAAATCAATATATTATGAACTCCAATGAGTCTTTTGTAAAAGGGGAATGGAATAAAATCATAGAGAAGAAAAAATTCAGAGCGTGTCCATCACAGTAAAAGTAGAGACTGTCCTCTGACCATTGTGTATACTATATATAACTAGTCTCTGCTAGGGCGGGCTATAGATGTGTTTATCACTGTGGATTGCAATAAAAATAAGCATTGACCTAACGTGCCTAGACCCTGGGGTTCCCCTCCCCCCACAAAGTATATCCAATCACTCAAAGACCTAAAAAGGCATTCCAGGCTTTGGGGTCCTTAATTGTACCTATTTTGCTCTCTAAGACATCACCGCTTTCCCTTCTGTTTGACACCCATTGTCTAGGTATGACAAATATATGAGCAGTGTTATGGGTTCAACTGGGTGCCCCCAAAAGATGGGGTTCTAAGGTCCAGTACCTAGAATATGGTTTATTTGGAAATAGGATCTCTACAGAGGTAATTGGTTTAAAAGGAGGTCTTCAGGGCGGGCTCTAATTCTCTGTGACTGGTGTCCTTGCAAAAGGAAGGTCGTATGGGGAGGCAGACGAGGGAGAAGGCCATGGGGTGGAGTAGCGATGTAGCTACAGGCCAAGGAATGCCAAAGGAGGCCCCCCACCACCCGCAGCTGGGGACAGGCCTGGACCGGACTCCCCTGCACAGCCTCCAAGGGAACTGACCTGCCGACACCTTGATCGCGGACTTCTGGCGTCTAAAACAGGCCATAAATTCCTGTTTCAAGCCCCCTCGTTTGTGGCGCTGTGTTGCCACAGCCCTACAGAAAGGAATATGGGGAGTTACCATATTCACTGGGGTGTGTGGCGGGGCGGGGAGGGGAGCCCGGACCGCTGTCCAGCCTTGGTTTTTTTTTCTGCTGGCCCGTGGTCTCCATCCTGGCCAAACAATGGCCTTATCTAGCTTGTGGGGTAAAGACCTTCCGGCCTCCAGTGTAGGCAGACGATGGGTTTAAAGAGAACTCATTCGCTTAACACGTATATGTTGCGTGCCTACTGTGTGCCAGGCACCCTAAGAGCTCAGGATACTCAAGTGTCAGGAAAATGACAATCCCTCCCTGCCTGGCCGGGGCTTTCATTATGATGACAGGTGACACGCGGAGGACATCTCGTCTGGCAAGGGGGGGCGGTGCTGGCGGTTTGGGAAGAAGGAAACAGGGCAGGAAGGTACCAGCCCCGCCCCTCAACCTCACAGGGAAGGTGACGTTTGAGCAAAGACTCGAAGGTGCCGAGGGAGGAAGCCAAGCGGGGGGGAACAGCATTCCCAGCACGGGGAACAGCCAGTGCAAAGCCTCCGAGCGGGGAGCCCACCTGTCCCTTGGAGGAGCCCTAGGGGGCCGGCCAGCAAGGCTGGCGTCCTGGGAGGGAGGAGGCAAGGTCAGCGAAGGCTGAGCCCGGGGGCCATCTTGAAGCCCTGGGGGCTGAGCAGAGAAGGGCCACGGCTGATCACGCTGGAGCGGGTGTCGGTCAGGGTTGGCACGGCGGTCAGGGTTGGCACGGCGGCAGGAGTGCCCACAGCACCTACTTCTCTGTTACGTTTCGGCGGTCAGGGTTGGCACGGCGGCAGAGTGCCCACAGCACCTACTTCTCTGTTACGTTTCCCACTGCTCTCCTTAGTAACCGAGGGCACAGCCCCAGCCTCACTGCCTCCGAGCTGGGTGACCTTGGGCAAATCAGGTGACTTCTCTGTGCCTGCAGCTCCCGAGGGTCCCCGCCTCATGGGCCTGGCGTGAGGATTGAGGAGATGATGTGTGTAAAGTGCTCGGCTCAGCAAACAAGAACTATTGCCTATTGTTATTGTCATCCTCCTAAGAGACTTAATTATAGTCTTAATGTCCCCAAATCCTTTTTATCTCTGTGCTGATGGGACCTTCACCTTCCCAGGGCTGGGAGTCACTGTCATGCAGAGCACATGGGTGTGGCCGTCTCCACTGAGGGCAGGGTCCCTGGGACCCTGCACTGGCTGACCTGCCCCTGGTTGCCGAGGCCACTCCTGTTGTGTGACACTCCTGGAACACTCCTTCCCCCGCACAGGTCCCCAGGATCTGGTCTGATATGTGACAGTCCAGGACTCCGAGTTGAGTCTTTCTTCAATGCTGGTAATTTGTACTTGTTCTTGATTCATAAACTGAATCCTAAATTCTTTTTGAAAAAGAGTGGGGAGAGGGCCATGTCCGGGGTGGGGGGCCGGGGACCGAGGCCTGCACGGGAAGCACCGGGAAGGGAACCTGGCAGCCGCAGGACACCCAGGGCCTCGGACGCTCTTGCCTGG